TACCGTCTGATCTGTTTTAACCTGCCCCATTTCAGTCATCAGATAAGATTATTCTTGAGCCTACGATGAGATTTCTCTAGCTTACCTGTTTGTGTTCTGATAGCCTGATCCTTATCCTTTCCGTATGTGGATCTCTGAGCCTGCCTGTTCCAGTTCTGATCTGTTTACCTGACCTGTCTTCGGACTTCTTCTAGATTTTGTGTGTTGATCTGCCTGCTGACACCAACCTGGATTTCCCCTCAGTACTTCTTCAGATCTCTGATCTGCTGGCTTGGTGTCCTGTAAACTTTTTCGACACCTGCTTCGACTTCACCCTCTGGAGTATCCTGCCTTCTGCTTGGGTCTGAACTCCAAGGCTTTAGCGTCTGGAGCTCCCTGGGCAGCATTCCCCGTGTGCTGTTAGCAGCTATTCAGGTGGAATCCACCTCTTCCCCTGGGCACGGCCTGAACTTTAAGACCAAGTTAGTGACTCAGGCTTTCGTAATCATCCTCCTTCAGATTAATGTGGTCATTAACCTGAGTTTCCCCCTGCAGAGGTTCCTGCCTTAGAAATGTTTTTTTTTAATAAACGTCCTTTTGAGAACTGTCTGTCTGCCTTGATTACTGGATCCTTTGTTATGAGCCTTGACAATTTCAGAGTTAAAATACCTTTTGAAAAACCTGACAGTTTTACAGAAGGAAAAATAAAGATATATAATATGTAATCTTAAAGGGCTAATTGTCTAGACTGTAGATTGGTTTCCCCAACTCCTCATTCATCCAAATACTTTTCTTTTTTGTTTAAAAATTCCAATCAGTACCCAAGACAAAATCACAGACTGAATGTAGATCCTGACAGCTAACAATACACTGATATTTAGACTGTGATGGATTCTTTGAATCTCTTGGTTCTTGAAACATAAAATGGTTTTAATTATCTTTGCAAGCTTGAAAGATTATTATAAATGTATTTATTGTATGGATGTTCTACTCTCTTGACCCACTGGTATAAATTCTCCATATTAAAGCTGAAAAACTATGCATGCATTTAAAATGTAAATCAAATCTAGTTATGCTGAGAAAAGCGTCCATAAGCAAGTCATTTGATTAAAAGCAAATTGTTTTGACAACTTGTCGTGTGTTTCGTCTTTATGAAAAAAAAGCCCCACTGGGAAGGATGAATTATTAGTTACTTTTATTGTGCGATAAATCTTGTAAATTAACCAGAGTGCCAATGGATGTCAACTATGATTAGTGTCAATCGGCACTCTAATAAAGATGCTCTACCTGTAGGCGTGTTGCATCTCTGGCTCTCTGATGAGGTTATAAACAGCATGAATGCTTAACTCAGGAGCATTTGGACTCCATTAAAAATAAATCATATGAATCGTGTTTCTGTGTGCAAAGGCTTACACCAGTCACTGAAATGCATGAAATTAATCAAGTTTGAAATGAAACAACCTATTAAAGCATTACAGAAGGAATGGTTTGGCAATTTATAGAGTAGCATGTTGATTTTGAAAGGACGGGATCTGTTGTGGTTCTTTTCGAAATCATCACACTGTGGTCAGCACAGCAAAGTCACAGAGGCATCCCACCGACGAACAGATGGGCAGCAGGAGAGGAATGCAGAGGAGGTGATCCAGAATGTGCACACACACCATGATGGTGAGTCAGTGATAAAGAACGGCAGATGAATGGATTTCTAAAACTCTTCTAACAAACTGAGAAAGCGGCTGTCTGCCTCTCCTTCCTCGTCTGTCGCTCTCATTTCCACTGCTGGAAGCCTGTGAATTTCAGTGCTGACGTATGTGTTGGCTTTCTGTGCTGTGTGAAAGGAAAAGCAACGAGATGTCGTCGGGGAGAATAATTTATTGCACCCTGTACCTATAATGTCACACTAACTTACAGCGGCATGAAAAATAAATCACAAAAGATGGAAGTAGTGACAGTAAACATATCCTGAATGATTTTTCTGGGTGTAGAGGGGACATTATCAGGTCTGGAAAGGAATACAGTACAAAGGAACTCATTTGGTGGTAAAAGTAAGTTATTTTTTTCTTCCCTTTTGTAAGTCTTTTTAGTGGATTCTCTAAAGACTTTAAAAGCAGACTCTTCTTGTTATGGCCTATTAAAAAGCTTAAATAACATTATTATTGATTTAAAGATTGTTAATATTGAACATTTTCCATAGCTGTCATCAGTCCATCTTATGATCCTGTGATTGAGTTTTCCCCATATCAAACCTGGGAGGTAGCAGACACTCAAAGAGTTTATTTATGACCAATTCTGCCAACTAAAACAAAAAAGTTTAATTTAAAGCTGTTCTTTGTGTTTGGTGCATAGCTTAAGCGGGGCCAACGAAAGGTCCTTTCTGCATATCTTTAAATCATCTTTTGGGAAATCATGAGAGGCACTTGGGCCCCGTTGGTTCTCCTTTTTAAACAGTGGGTCAGAGGTGCATATAAGCCGGCTACATACAAAACCTAGATGTAATCTTTAAGGCTGTTAAGTTCTTAATTTATTCACTAAAGGTGCAAACCCAGAATTTACCATGACCTGCAAAAACATTCACAATATTTCACATTCATCACATTCTGTTATACAATAACTAGAATAATAAAAATTTTAGCCTATGTGATGGACCAATACAACAGGTGCATTTTTGTGAAGTGGAAGAAAAAAAATAGAAATTTCAAAATTGTTCGATAAATTACAATCTTACAGTTGTGCAGATGATTTAAAACCAGGTTTAGGTTACAGTGAATTTCCCAGAATAAAATGTGATTAAATTGCCATGTACAAATCTTACCATTGTGAGAGATGGTTGTAAGGAAGTCACAGGAAGTCATGATTAATGTTAGCACAAGCCTCTGTGGTTTCGAAGCAAACATAAAAAAGGGCTAAAGCAAAGCAATCCTGTGAGATAGACCATTTCAAAGCTGTAGAAGACCCGGAATGGGGGGGGGGGGATAAGGAGCTAAATTTAATATTTTAGATAAAAGTATATTTATTTAATAAGATGGCCCAAACTTTTCCACCATGCAGCCCAACAACAGCAGCTACTCAAAGATGACTAACTGGCTAGGAAGCTTGTTATGCAAAAAAAAAAAAACATTTGTATGCCAAAATGGTTGTTTTTTGGCGACTTAAAAACCCTAGTGGTCCTGGTGTCTCAAATTAAATCAGTTAGTCATTGCAATCCATCTGAGAGATGGTTTGTGCAGCCATGGATTTCCAAAATAAAATATTAAAAGCTGGAGCAAAAAAACCTACACACACACACATATATATATATAGATATATCTATCTATCTATA